TTAGTCGTGCTATCAGAATTAGAAAAAAAAACAAATTAGTATTTTTTCAATAAAATAAAACACGTTTTTTTCCTAATATTTTTTTCTATTAGGAAAAAAAACCTTTTTTTTACATCTGTAATTACACTATATTTAAGCAGAGGTAAAAATTCACAAACTAAATGTGTGCTATACAGGACGTCTCATTTTATTTTAAACAGTTAAATATCTAAAAGCTTGCAAATTTAAAAAAAAAACTTTCTAGACAAAGGTTGTATGGCAAAATATGGTGTACAGACAAAATAGTAAAATTAATTTAAAAAAAAATCACAATTTTTCAATGTCATATGCAAATCATTTCATTAAAAAAATTGAAATTATACAGGGTGTCCCGAAATTCGCGAATCAAAATATCGTAGCAAGAAAGTCTTCGAAAAATTAAGTAAAAAAGTTATTTGTAAATTTTTATTTTAAGCAGTAGTTTTTGAGATAAGAGTTTAAATTTTGCCAATTATAGATTACAATTAAACGGAAACATGTCCGTGAACGCGTCGATAGTGTTAGTGGTTGTGCACTTCATGCGCGTATTAATCTATAATTGGCTAAATTTAAACTCTTATATCTCAAAAACTACTTTAAAATACTACGTTTAAAATAAAAATTTTCAAATAACTTTACTTAATTTTTTGCAGACTTTCTTGCTATATTTTGATTCGCGAATTTTGGGACACCTTGTATAATTTTCTTTGTTATTTGACTGTTTAAAATGAAGGATAGGGCACCCTGTATCCAAATTAAAATTACCTCCAATTGAGTAACGTCTAGTTAAGTTACCTCTAGCTAAGACATTCGTAGTGATGAGTACTTTCTCAAGTCCTGCTCTAAATCTATCCAGTACAGAAATTCTTTGTTCCACAGTCAAGTCGCCAGATAATATCGCTACCGCATGCCCGTCTTTCGTCATTTTCTCTGCCAACCAACTAGCTGTTCTCTTTGTCTATAAAAAAAAATAAAAAATAAAAAATAAAGTGACGTATCTTGTAAACAAGTTGTCCAGATATCAAATTTAATAAATATTTAAAATGCAATCGATCTTACGTGACAGAAAATAATCGCCTGTCCAATAGTAATCACGCCGTAGATATTAGTGATAGCCGTGTATTTTTCATCTACATTCCTGCACTTAATGTAATATTGTTTAATATTATCTAAACTCTCTTCTTCCCTTAATAGCCGTATTATTAGCGGATTACTGACTATAATTTCCGCAAAGTTCATCACTTCCGGCTCGTATGTCGCTGAGAAGAACATCATTTGACACGTACGTGGCAGTGATCTATGCACGAAATAAATACAGGTGATATATCTTGCGTAAAATATACACGTATTTGATCACACAAAATTAGATATCTCGGAAAAATTACTTGTGAATACGGATACACTGATCTTGATGACCTTGTGTGGCGATCATAACGTCAGCCTCGTCCAATACAAATACCGATATTTTACTGAGATCGAAAAACTTGAATTTTTGTCCCCAATCCATCACTTTACCGGGAGTTCCTATAATAATGTGTTCTTCAATCGACGATCCACGGCTTACTGAAATAATCAAAGCAATGTTAATCCTAAGAAAAAAACTTGTCTTAACGGACAATTCAAATTACATGAGAAAATGATGTATTACTTTCTTCTCCCCTCACAGCGTACTTTATCTTTATCTCGGGACAGAAGCGAGACATCTTAGCAGCTACTTCGCCAGTTTGGATCGCTAGTTCGTAAGTCGGCGACAAACAAAGTACCTGTGGATAATTCTTCGTGGGGTCCACCCGACTCAGCATAGCGAGTACGAACGCGGCTGTCTTGCCTGTACCAGACTGAGATTGCGCGATCATATTTTGTGGTCTGAAACAATTTTTTAGGCTAATTGGAAGTCTTTTTTTTTTTTTTTCAAGAAAAACCAAGAGTATCAAAAATAACTCGGGTAAATACTTACGGATCGGCGAGTAAAGTAGGTAAAGCAGTTTCTTGAATTCTCGAGGGTGCATTAAATCCCATGGCATAAACCCCTTTTAACAAGGCTGGTTTGCTGTATGCAAAATAAGAAGGAATGTTTATAATTTATATACATATATACCACTGTGTCAAATTATATCATAATTAACCTTCCGCCGGCAGACAACGGATCACTCGAGACCCAATAACGAACTTGTTTTACATGTAAATAGCGGTAAACTGGAGCAACAAGTGCAGAAGAGAATTAAACATCGTTTATCTTGTAAATAAAGATCCACCAATTGTTGAGTTTTAATAAATATTTAAAAAAATTCCATTTAATTCCATAAAAAATAAGATTTACTTTTGAGTCACAAAAACTTTTGATTTGATTCCACCACATGGTTGCCAAAACGTTTGCTAGCAGAGGATTAGTGATGAATAAAACTGATGATGGATTTAAATCAGTGCTGTCCAAAATTTGCAATTCTAAGTATTGATTTGACGCGTATCAATATTTATCCATCTTGATTAAGAAAAAGGAAGATAATAAGCGTAAACGCCGACACATGTCTTAGAATTATAAATCTTTGACAGCACTGGTTTAATTTGGCTTTCTTGTAACAATTAAAAGTTAATTACATATACATAGTCAGCCAGATCTATCAAAATTTTGTCAAATGTTAGAAATGTTATCGTCAAAATAGCATCAAATTAGATTTAAGTCCGTTATATTCAATGATATCAGTAAATTGGTGACAGATATATAATAAAATCTGCTGTCATAACATGAGAACAAATTGTTATTAAAATGACAAAGTCTGCCAATAATCTGACAGCATATTGATAATAAAAACCGACCAAAACCGACTGAAGCTTTGCTCGATTTTTATTGACAATTTAATTTCACATTATATCAGCAAGTTTTGTCAACAGAACGTAAGCTTAATGTGAACACAGTTGACGTCAATTTGCCGAATATTTTAATCAAATCTGCAGCAATTTGTAGGTAGTAAATAGTAGGCAAATTGCAACATTTTGCCAACTATATATATATATATATATATATATACATAGAGAGAGAGAGAGAGAGAGAGAGAGAGAGAGAGAGAGAGAGAGAGAGAGAGAGAAAACATATTG